GGAAGTACGTTCTGGGCATGAGAAATAGTAAGTAATTAAATTAATTTTTTGTAAACACACATGGGATTAAGAGGTTGCAAAGGGAAGTTTCACATTTCATGAAGTATGAAACACGCAATGGTGTGATTCTTATTTGACAGACACGGCAAATTGTTGGGGTTTTTATATTCCAAATGGGTCAAATTGTTCAACGAATTTGACAGACACTTGATTTGTTGACAATGTTAATTTATAGATTGGTAAATTTTTCGTGCATAATATGTGATTCTTATTTGATTTCTACCAACGAATGCCATCTAGAATTGGTGGGGTTTTCAAACATTGAAACACTACGTATTGAAGCTTTAGGCACTTACTTTGGGTTGATTCATTCCACTATTACTTTGGGTTGATTCATTCCACTACGTATTGAAGCTTTAGACACAAATAAATGGAACCCCAAATCCAAAATTTAATACTTTCTAGAGAAAGAGAACAGCTTTACCAAAACATCAGGTATAAATTTTAAATCAAAAATCAAAACAACCAAGCAATCAACAGCCAAGAGTACAACCAAAAAAAAAAAAGCAATCAACAAAGGGAAGAGAAGAAGATCATTACAGCGAAACAATCAACAAGTCTTTCCATCAGCTTCCTCGCATATTTCGAAGAGGTAGGCTCATCAATGTTCTACGTCTTTAAAAGAGAAGAGTAATCTGGCAATAGGGTTGTAGAAGAGTTTGTATCTTTCTAAAACTTAATTTGAAGAGTGGTGGGGTGTGTGTATAGATGTACTAGGGTTAAGTATTAAGTTGGATGACCTTTTTTATCTTTTTACACAATAATAAAACTTACAGCTTAATGATTTAAGTATTAGGGTGAACAAAGAGAAATTCGGGGTTTAAATAGAAAATCTCAAAAGAAATACTCCCAACTAAATATCAAGGTCAACTAGGTACACACAGAAAGAATCTACCTACGAAATTGCTTTTGAAAGGTTTAACTTGAAATCTGGTAGGAGTGGGCTGGTGTTAAAAGTGAAGAAGAATACAAAACAAATGGTCAGCAATAGGGGCTACAGAACATGTTCATTCAATTTGACCAAAACATTGGGTAAAAAAAAAAAAGAGATTTTCTATTTAAACCCCAGATTTCTCTTTGTTCACCCCAATACTTAAATCATTAAGCTGTAAGTTTTATTATTGTGTAAAAAGACAAAAAAGGTCATTCAACTTAATACTTAACCCTAGTACATCTATACATATACCCCACCACTCTTCAAATTAAGTTTTAGAAAGATACAAACTCTTATACAACCCTATTACCAGATTACTCTTCTCTTTTAAAGACGTAGAACATTGACGAGCCTACCTCTTCGAAATATGCGAGGGAGCTGATGGAAAGACTTGTTGATTGTTTCGCTGTAATGATCTTCTTCTCTTCCCTTTGTTGATTGCTTTTTCTTTTTTTTGGTTGTACTCTTGGCTGTTGATTGCTTGGTTGTTTTGATTTTTGATTTAAAATTTATACCTGATGTTTTGGTAAAGCTGTTCTCTTTCTCTAGAAAGTATTAAATTTTGGATTTGGGGTTCCATTTATTTGTGTCTAAAGCTTCAATACGTAGTGGAATGAATCAACCCAAAGTAATAGTGGAATGAATCAACCCAAAGTAAGTGCCTAAAGCTTCAATACGTAGTGTTTCAATGTTTGAAAACCCCACCAATTCTAGATGGCATTCGTTGGTAGAAATCAAATAAGAATCACATATTATGCACGAAAAATTTACCAATCTATAAATTAACATTGTCAACAAATCAAGTGTCTGTCAAATTCGTTGAACAATTTGACCCATTTGGAATATAAAAACCCCAACAATTTGCCGTGTCTGTCAAATAAGAATCACACCATTGCGTGTTTCATACTTCATGAAATATGAAACTTTCCTTTGCAACCTCTTAATCCCATGTGTGTTTACAAAAAATTAATTTAATTACTTACTATTTCTCATGCCCAGAACGTACTTCCTCCTCTAAAGGTAGCTTGTGGGGTTTAAATAGAAAATCTCTTTTATTTCTTATTTTTTCAGCTTGGGTGTATTTAAGGGTAGTTTGGGAAGATAGTGGGGTTTTCTTAGAAATTGTGAAAATTTAAATTAAAAGTTGGGGTGAACTTAGAGCATGGGGTGAACTAAGAGAAGTGTGAGGTTTAAATAGCAAATCACTTTCTTTTTTGTATGAAAGGTATATTCAAGAACCATGATTTATTATTCAAATTGGCCAAGTCTCTACTTCAAACATTCAAGAAGGTGAAAACTCAAACTGAAATAAGTCAATAGATTGAGATGGATTTAGACATAAAATCCTAGCCGCACTCTAGTCCCATTTCTCTTTGCCAACAATCAACTGCAAGGAAGCTAAGGGGGAGGTGGCCACTGCCCCTCCTCCCTTCAGCCCATCTTCCTCTTCCTCTCCTCATCTCCTATTCCCTTTCTCCCATCTTTTCCCTTCCTTTTATCCCCTTTTCTCCTCCTATTTCCCCTCCCTAGATAGTCTAGATTTGTTTGTCTCTTTATTTTGTTAATTGTTTTTACAGTGTTATAGGTGGTTGGTGTTGTCTTTATCTCTACAGTGGCGACAATAGTGACGCTGGATTGTGTCTATCCTCGGGAGAGTTGTGATACCTGGTGCCTGATGTTTTGTCTCTGTTTCAACGGCAGCGGCAGCGGCAGCAGCAACGTTGATGGTAGTTGTTGGGATGTGGTGCTCTTCTCTACTCTGCGCCGACCAAAGAACTATGCTGGTCATAGGATGTTTTCTTTGTCCGGTTCTGAGTTGAAGTGGAGTGCTTCTCATGGGTCCTTTTATTGTTGTTTATGTGGTGACGCTGGATTGTGTCTCTCATCGGGAGAGTTGTGATACCTGGTGCCTGATGTTTTATCTCTGTTTCAACGGCAGCAACAACAGCAGCAGCAACGTTGATGGTAGTTGTTGGGATGTGGTGCTCTTCTCTACTCTGCGCCGACCAAAGAACTATGCTGGTCATAGGATGTTTTCTTTGTCCGGTTCTGAGTTGAAGTGGAGTGCTTCTCATGGGTCCTTTTATTGTTGTTTATGTGGTGACGCTGGATTGTGTCTCTCATCGGGAGAGTTGTGATACCTGGTGCCTGATGTTTTGTCTCTGTTTCAACGGCAGCGGCAGCGGCAGCAGCAACGTTGATGGTAGTTGTTGGGATGTGGTGCTCTTCTCTACTCTGCGCCGACCAAAGAACTATGCTGGTCATAGGATGTTTTCTTTGTCCGGTTCTGAGTTGAAGTGGAGTGCTTCTCATGGGTCCTTTTATTGTTGTTTATGTGGTGACGCTGGATTGTGTCTCTCATCGGGAGAGTTGTGATACCTGGTGCCTGATGTTTTATCTCTGTTTCAACGGCAGCAACAACAGCGACACTGGTGGTAGTTGTTGGGATGTGGTGCTTTTCTCTACTCTGCGCCGACCAAAGAACTATGTTGGTCATAGGATGTTTTCTTTGTCCGGTTCTGAGTTGAAGTGTTGTGCTTCTCATGGGTCCTTTTATTATTGTTTATGTGGTGACGCTAGATTGTGTCTCTCCTCGGGAGAGTTGTGATACCAGGTACCTGATGTTTTGTCTCTGTTTCAACGGCGGCTGCAGCAGTGACACTGGTGGTAGTTGTTGAGATGTGGTGCTCTTCTCTACTATGCTTGGTCGTATGAGGTTTTCTTTGTCCGGTTCTGAGTTGAAGTGGAGCGCTTCTCAGGGGTCCTTTTACTGTTGTGTATGTGTTCCTCTTGCATGTTCTCTCCTGGTTTCTTCTATGGTATGCCTTGCAGTTTGTGTGAGTGTCAAAGGACTATGATTTTACTCATAAAAGGCTTCTTTTGACAATTGAGATGTTCTGCGTTCCTTTCTTGTGGGTCTATTGTGTTGGTCTATAGTTGCGGTTCTCCTCGGAGGTCTATGTGTTAGTTTTCATTTTTGATTTGTTCTTTTATTGTACTGGTCCAAAAGTGACCTGAATCGAACTCTCTTGTTAATTCATGACATGTGTGGTACTCTTTCCTCCTCTGGGGTTTGTCTCATGAGGTTGTCCTAAGAAAGTTTTAACGAAGCCATTGTATTATGTCGTTCATTGTACGTCTTCGGTTATATGAATGAATTCTCTTCTCAAAAAATAAAAAATTGAGATGAATTTAAAAAAAATAAAAAATAATAATAATAATAACGTCACAGCATTTTATCTCATTTGTGGCCTTAGCTTCGACTTGATTGTAATTAAGTCCAAATCAATCTTTATGAGTCTCATCCCTAAATAAAGCGAGGCACGTCAGTTCAATATATTTGCAACATAAATCACTAAACAATAGAAAAGGACTCACCATCAACCATGTGGACTAGCAGGTCATGAGCTAGAGCTGTTTGTCTCTTAAGCAGTAGAAAGAAAGAGATGACATGGGAAAAGTTATTCTTTAGAGAAATAATTTTTATTTATTAATACTTCCTTTCTCACACTCCTTGCACATGCTCTGCAATAAAAGAATTCATCAGGTTTGGATGGTCAGTGGGTTGGGGTCCTCTCCCGAATAACTTACTTACATCGGGATACCACTGCGACGGTATTCCAAACCAATTACGTACTGAAACACCCACCGGAAATAACACTTCTGTTACAAAATGATTAAGTTACCTTATCTAAACAGAATCAAAAGAGAAAAAAAGAGGTGGTAGGACAATAATTGGCTACTTTGTTGTTCAATCAAGAATGATTGAGGATCACAAATAGGCATACCCGTGAATGATTGATTCTCTATAAACGTGACATTTAAGCATCTAGACCTCCTTATAAATATATATTTAGTTTGATTCAAATGACATAAATAACTAACAGCCAGTCCACTTGTGTAATTTTATAACTTTGAAAGCCTCAAAGGTGCTGCTGCTTCCTTTTTGGATTTTTTTATAAATTAGACCTTCATGTGTTTCCACTTCACTTGGCTTCACGGGTCCTGTTTCTCTTTTATTTTTCTACCTAAGGGCAATTTGTCCCAAACAAACTTCCTCTCCCAACTTCTTCACTTTTATATTCTGCTCCACTACTGGCATTGCTTCTTTCCTTGTCCTAAGCTGCACCATAATCCAAAGTTACAAAACATGCCTGTCCTTACCTCTTCTTCTCCTTCTTTTACATCCATTTCTTTGTCCATTTTCTTGCTGCTCATTCTGAACAACACTACTGTCATTTGTTCAGCTACAACCAGGACCAATACGACTCGCCCAAACCGCCAACTCTCTGTTAATTACTATGCCAAATCATGTCCTCAAGTTGAGCAGCTCATCGGCTCCATCACATCCCAACAGTTCAAAGAATCACCTGTTTCCGGCCCGGCAACCATTCGCCTTTTCTTCCATGACTGCTTTGTTGAAGTAATCACAACTCCATCCAACAATGCACATTGGTTTGGTTTAAATTTTCTGCATGCATGTGCATTTTAATGTATTAATTTTTGTCACTCTGTCTCTTCTGACAATTTTGGGTTCGAATATATTGAAGGGTTGTGATGCATCGATAATCATAAGCTCAAAGCAGCAGGGGAACAAAATGTTGGCAGAGAAGGATGCACCTGATAACAAGGACCTTAGAGAAGAAGGCTTTGAAAGTGTGAGGAAAGCCAAAGCTGTTGTGGAGAGCAAGTGTCCTGGTGTTGTGTCTTGTGCAGACATACTTGCAATTTCAGCCAGAGATTATGTCCACTTGGTAAGTACCAAAGATTCTCTGCCTTTGCCTTCTAATCTATAATGCTGCAATGTGGACCTGTGGTTGCTACCAGCTCCTGTGATATGACATAATGCCATGATTTTGACACTCCCAATTTAGCTCCCGGCACTCCTCCAAATCAAGTATTTTATAATTTGTATGTACACACATTGTGCCGGAAACTAAAGCAAGAGGGTGGGAGTGTCAAAATCGTTACCCTTTTAATTTTAAATGCGTATTGACATTTTTTTCTAATTTTAATTTCAATGGGGGCGGGCAGGCAGGGGGTCCATACTATCAAGTTAAGAAAGGGAGGTGGGATGGGAAAATATCAATGGCCTCAAAAGTGGCCTCAAATATTCCCCAAGCAAATTTCACGGTGGATCAGCTACTCATACTCTTCAGTTCAAAAGGCCTAACACTTGAAGACCTGGTTGTTCTTTCTGGTGCACATACGTTTGGCTTTGCTCATTGCCAGAACTTTGTTAGCAGGCTCTATGACTACAGGGGATCCAAGAACCCCGACCCGATTATTGACCCGAGACTCCTAAGTGCCCTAAGAATGTCATGCCCACATTATGGTGGAAATGCTGACATTGTTGCACCATTTGATGTCACTACACCGTTTGTGTTTGACCATGCCTATTATGGGAACCTAGAGGCTAAGTTGGGCTTGCTAGCATCAGACCAAGCTTTATCTTTGGACCCAAGAACCAAGCCGATTGTCCAGGCTTTGGCAAAAGATAAGCAAAAGTTCTTTCAAGCTTTTGGTGCAGCAATGGAGAAAATGGGCTCAATAGGTGTGAAAAGAGGAAGAAAACATGGGGAGAAAAGGAAAGACTGTAGTATGCATATGTTATGATAATTTTTTTGTTCTTTTTCATTCCTTGTGGTGGGTTAGTTTAGACATTTTCCCTGTCCTAGTTCATTCTTGGGTACCCTTTGGATCGGCTTTGGACTTTTGGTCTCTTTTTGGTGTTCGGGATTTGTTGTATATATAAGGCTTTTGTGAATGTTTGAAGAGTTCAAACAGTTGATGAGCAGCTATTCCCGTTTGATACAAGTTTTTCTGGTTGTAGAGGCGGATGGTCTTCGTGAACAGATTCAACAAGTTGACAAGTTGACTGGTTTCTGTTTTTATCATTTCCACGCGGAATAAAAACAATAAAAAAGGACGTATATTTATTTAGGGGCATAATAAAATAAGAAAAATACAAGAAAAACATGTACTGCCTGCCATTGGCATTGCCAGCGCCTCTCCAAGGAAATGAATTTCTCACACACACAACAATAAGGGGTCATGAGGGTTGGAATCTACGACTTCTGAAAATCAAGGCGCTTTTAGTGTTGGAATCTACAACTTCTACAAATCATGGTGTCTGTGATTGGTCGAGAATAGCCTAACAATACTATTCCCATTTCATACTAGTTTTTCTGGTTGTAGAGGCGAATGGTCTTCACGAGAAATTTTTGTAGGGACCCGGTACACCAGCCAGCTGGTGTACCCACCAATAGGAATAGGACACATGTAATAATTTATTTTAGCTTTAAAATTGCAGTAACTTTTAACTCCGTTAGCCTTTTAACTCCGTTAGTCTTTTGCTGCATCCGTTAGCCATTTTTTATTCCTATTGGTTTTCAGTTTTTCAAACAAAACCCTAAAGATACAAATTTTATCTGACAATATAGCTTTTGCCGTCAGATACAGCAGCCTACTCCCACAGATACAGCAGCCTACTCCCACATCAGCCTATTGGTTTTCAGTTTTTCAAACAAAACCCTGCTGTACGTTTTCATGGACAAAGAAAAAGGTGATGACCTGCACCTTACTCCCACATGTCTTTACTTTTTCATGAGTTTTGGTTTCATTGGATTATTATATTGTGGTTTGAGTTACTTTTGACTCTGGTATATATATTTTTATATATGCTTTGCTCAGGTTACTTTTGAGTTACTCTTTCATGAGTTTTGGCTCATTGAATTATTAAATTGGTTTTGCTCGAGGTTCTTTGAACATTGGGAGTTGCCTCCCCAAACATCAACTTATGCATATGCATATGTATTGGCACTCCAGCATCGTTTTTTAATTTCTTTTTTTTCTCTTTTTTTTTCTTTTAATTTCTTTTAATTTCTTTTTTATTTCTTCCTATAGTTATTCATTATCATCTCACAAAAATTATTTCTTTCGTTGAATAATGTAGTGATTGATCTTGGAAGTGATGAAGAAAACACGAAAAGCAACGATCAAGAAAAAAATCCAACGTTTGTGAATCTTGAAGAATCTTCCGATGAAAATTTGTATGGGAAGATTGTGTACAACGAACAAGAAGCTTATGATCTCTATAATGAGTATGGTGCAAGCATTGGCTTTAGCATTCGAAGAAAACAAAAAAGATATGACAAATATGGAGTTCTGAGACAACTTAATTTTGTGTGTTCAAAAGAAGGTTTTAGAGAAGATAGTGACCCTTGTAAAGAGAAAGCAATTGATAGACTAGAGACTAGAACAGGGTGCAAAGCCAGAATTCGATTTTCATTGGAAAGTGATGTGTGGAAAGTTTCTACCTTTAATCCTGATCACAATCATAAGCTTGCAAGATCAGATGAAAGACAATTTTTGTGATCAAATCGTAAAATTTCAGAATCTCATAAGGGTGTGATTAAAACCATGGTGAGTGCAGGTATAAGAACTTCAAATACATACTCATATTTAGCAGAAGAAGTATGCGGATCTCAAAATGTTGGATTTACAAAGATAGATTGCTACAATTTTGTCAGTAGGGAAAAAATGAATCTACTTGAAGCAGGCGATGCTCAAAGCTTGATCAATCTTTTCAAGCACAAGCAAGTTGAAGATCCAATGTTCTTTTACACAGTGCAAGTAGATCAAGAAAACCGAATGACAAACTTTTTTTGGAGGGATGGAAGGTCCAGACTTGATTATGAGTGTTTTGGGGACGTGATCGTATGTGATACTACATATCGAACCAACAGGTACAACATGATTTGCGCTCCTTTTGTAGGGGTTAACCATCATTGGCATAATGTGTTGTTTGGCTGTGCTTTTTTGTTGGATGAAAAGATTCCTACATTTCGGTGGTTGTTTGAGACATTCTTAGAATCCATGGGAAATCGAAAACCTGTAACCATTTATACTGATCAATGTCATGCAATGGCAAATGCCATCTCCACAGTTTTTCTTGGGACATGTCATCGTTTATGCACATGGCACATATCAAGAAATGCAACACTGAAGTTGGCAAGTTATTATGCCATTCCGGAGTTTAAGAGGTTATTCAACAAGTGTCTTGAAGGAGGTGAGACAGAGTCTGAATTTGAGTATACTTGGAATGAAATGATTTCAAAGTTTGACCTTGCAGATAACACATGGCTTAAGACCTTATATCAGATTCGTGAAAAGTGGTGTCCAGTGTTTAGCCTAGATACTTTCACTGTCAGGATCAAAGCTTCTCAAAGAAGTGAGAGTATGAATAATGTTTTTCATCATATGTGTACTAAAACAATGAGGCTTACTGAATTTGTGCATCATTATGATAAACAAACAAATGGTATGAGGTCACGAGAGTTGGAAGAAACTTTTCGATGCAATCAGGGATTACCTTCCAGAGCTGCCAAAAAAAGTGGACTTCTGCTTCATGCTGCTAATGTCTACACGAGAAAATTTTTTAAATTATTTGAGACTGAGGTTATTGATAGTTTAGCGGTAAGAATGCGTCAAACTGGAAGTGATGGAACACTCCAAACTTTTGAGCTTAATGAGGAGGGTCGCAAAAGAGTGCATGTTGTCCAATTTAACTCTTTAAATTTCAATGTCTTATGCAGTTGCAAGATGTTTGAATCCATGGGTTTATTATGTCGTCATGCTCTAAGGGTGTTGAATGTAAAAGAGGTTACTGAGATACCATCTCAGTACATATTGAAGCGGTGGACAAAAGAAGCAAAGAAAGGATGGGATGCAAATGAGCATGGAGAATCTTTACAAGTAAGTGATAAATCATCAGTGACTTTGCGTCGGAATAGTTTGATGCGAATGGCTTATGATATATTGAGTAAGGGAGCGGAGACAGATAACACTCATAGAATTGCAATGCAAAAATTGAAAGAAATGGAAGAATTGATTGAAAAATATATGCTGAAGTCTAAAACAGTTGGAACTTCTAATGAAGAAAGCAATGGAGTTCTGAATGATAATACTCTTGTGGACACACATAGAGTTAGCGGTTCGTATGATGAGACACCAGTGTTAGATCCCTCATGTGTGAGGCCAAAAGGGATAAGTAACGCCAGATTAAAGCCTAGTTTTGAGAAACGAAAGAAGAAGACATCACTCTCAAGTAAGAATTTTTTTTGTTATTGGTTATTATTCCATCAATCTCTTCTAATTTATTATTATTTATTGGCTATAAGAATAACTGTTTATTATTTGCTTATGTAGAAAAAATTAAACAACCAAGAAAAGGAGGTTCTTCACAAACCTCACTTCATGCACCCAATTATTTAAGTATGACTATGCCAACAACGAATGGCCGTTTTCCTTCATCCAATCAGGTAATCTAATTTGTAAGTTTAAGACTTATCTTTGAGATTTCAATTCTTTATTTAATTGCGTAATTGTTTTCTTTCAGGATTCCAATTTTAGTTGGTCATTTAGTCAACCAAATGTTTCCTTCACCAATATGCTTCAGGATCAAAATTATTTGGCACATTTGAATCAAGATTTCTTTTCCACTGGTTTTGAACAACATCAGGATCCAAAGGAATAATGCATGTTGACAGAATGTTGGTTGGGTACTTCAAGGGAGAGGCTTTCTTGTTGTCCTATGTCATTAGAACTTTGAAATGGTGTATCAGATCATGTGAGACTTGTGATCATTGAAAATGGTTGTATTTCATTTTGTTTGGAGGCTACAAAAGTTTCTCAACTAAATTTTCAATGAAAGATCTGTAAAATTATATTATAATTCCAGATATTATTATATGTCAAGTGTGTTTGTTTTTTATAGATGAAAGATCTATAAAAAGTACATAAAATCAACAAAACACAAAAACACACACATAAGAAGATGAGAATACCAATAACCATACCATGAAAATCCTCTTTTATTTCCCATGAAAATAATAAGCTCATAGTAAGAAAAGCAATGGTTTGCTTCAATACCATTTTCTTTTGATACAATGGACTGCTTTAATTGTATAAAGATGCTTTTGTGCAATGAGCATTCTTTGCTTGAGGTTTTAGTTCCTGGTTGTCGAGGATGAATTTGGGTTGCTGTTCTGTTTTATGACCATCAGTCTCAAATCAATCATTGGTCTTTATTTATCGTCTAACGAACAATAAGCAACACATAACACAGGACTTGAAACCATCAACAAAGTCCAATAAGCTATCATTATCATTATCTGGAAGATAATCAGTACACACAGCCTTAGAAAACCATGACCATCAATGAATCGCACAATTTAGAGCTTTCTGAATAGCTTACATTGAGATTTTATAGTAACATGGAAATTTCAGCCAAAAATTTATTTTCCTCTGTTACTCTGTTTAAACAATGGATCAAACTAAATTTGGCTCGACAAGTAAATAAGAATAGATGAAATTCTTACTTCAATTTGCGGCGGAACTCACTTGACAACAGTGACTCAATCTGTTGTCGATCTTCAGCAGATTTGTCACGATCTGCCCTCAGAAACCCTCTGTATAGACTAAGAACTTGTTTCTGCATCCCAGAAAGCCTTGGTCGACTGGAGGCTCCCATTGCTTCTTCTTTTGTTTGGCACCAGATTTGCTTTTGAGAACAACTTCTAATCGTTATGGAAAACAAAAGCAAACCCCTAAGAACCCAAAACCAGTGCTCTCTCCAATCCCAAACCCAACACTTCCAAGCGCACCCAAACCCCATCAACTCCTCACCCAAACCCCTCAACTTCCTCAAAACCCATATAAAAAACCCACCATTTCGACCCCAATCTTCCTCAATTCTCTCTTTTGCTCAGATTGTGCTTTGAATTTTAACAAGGGGGAGTTCGATAATTTGGAGAACAAAAGAGAGATTTGAGAAATAAAAATGGGAAGACAGCAAAAGCCTAACTGAAGATTGGTAACGGAGACAAAGTTAAAGGACTATCGGAAGATTGGTAACGGAACAAATAGTTAAAAGGCTAAAATAAATTATTACATGTGTCCTATTCCTATTGGTGGGTACACCGGTCCCTACAAAAATTTCTCGGTCTTCACGGACAGATTCAACAAGTTGACAAGTTGACTGGTTTCTGTTTTTATCATTTCCACGTGGAATAGATACAATAAAAAAGGATGTATATTTATTTATTTATTTAGGGGCATAATAAAATAAGAAAAATACAAGAAAAACATGTACTGCCTGCCATTGGCATTGCCAGCGCCTCTCCAAGTCCAAGCCCACAACAACTTCCGCGTCCAATCGAAACCCAAACCAATCAGAGCGATGAGAGCCGTGGTCCAGCGAGTCGCCTCCGCAAGCGTCGAGGTCAGTCCGTACACATTCATATTCTC